TGAATGTCTCTCTTGATTGGTTTTATTGGCTGACAAAAAGAATCTTATTTGCCGTATCCATGCCTCTTAGCAATTATAAAACCTTTCTTTTAATTTCATTTCCCAACAACCATTCTTTATCACATTTTATTTATATATATTTAAAATTATAAAGTTTTTAGTCCAACTTAATCTTTAAAATCCCACATAATTAAATATTATTTATTATCGATTTATAAAACATTCATAAAAATAATAATTTTTGCAGATATTCATTTCATCCAGTAATTAACAAAATTTAATTATTATAATTTTATTAAATTAAATATTATATATTGATTCCTGTTCATTCATAAAATATTAATAAAATAATAAATTAAATACTAATATTCAAAGCACTAGAGTGTTGTGAGGTTGTTATTATCACGAATATTTATTATTAATAATTACATAAATTATTGAAAACATTAATTGTATGGAATCAATTTCAATGCAACAACACAACTGTAAGACAACAAAGAGATCAGAACCACTTTAATTTTTTTTTTTAATTTGGATTTTTATTAAAAATAATATAATCAACCAAAAGTCTTTTTTTAAAAAAAAAAAATCAAAATAAATAAAAGTTTTGAAAATATTTTTCTTGGAGAGTATTGAGTTCTGATTTAGTGATAAATATAGAACAGGAATCAATTTTTTTAAAAAAAAAAAATTAATTATTTTAAGTCCCATCATTTAAAATAAAATATAGTTAATTACATTTTATATCTTGTTCAAAAATTCAGTTTTCATCTACTTTTTAATTAAAATAAAATTTAAAATAATGTATTTTAAATATTAAAATAATTAAAAAATCAATTTAAACCTCTAAATATAATTTAATAATTTTATTTTTGCTTTAAAAATGAATATAAATTATATATAAACGTTAGGAACAAAATTATAACCAAAAATTAAAAATTAAAAACCAAACATTTCATACACTAATTTAATAATTTATAAAAAAATTTGTAATAATATAATAAAATATATTTAAAAAATCATTTGAGTGTCATACATAGAAATTATTCTATTCTTTTCCAAAAGTCATATGATTAGATACTATGCATAATAATCTCCCTTTATTTTTTATTGCTTTGGATGCCAATTCATATATATATATATATATATATATATATATATATACTTGTAAATAAAATTATATTCTTTTAATGTATACATATAATTATTAAAATCAACATTGGATATCTGACTTTTTGTCCAAAAAAAATCATTTGCCTTTTGATAATAAAAGCTTAGATTCTGAGGAGTAATAAGTGCCACCTCTTTTCCACTCACCATCATTATTATTTTCAAATTTCTTAAAATTAATTAATAATTTTAAATAATTAATTATTGTACCATCACAATAAGCTGAAATCTTAAACATAATTAATTTTAATTTGTAACTATCTTATCATATTTTTTAGGTACTTTAATTTTTCTTGTCGAATTTTCTTTGAAAAATTAATTTTTTACGTGGTACATTGATGACCCATATAAGGATTTTACAGTAATTAGTTGATTTAATATATATATATATATATGTATATATGTATATGTACATATGACAATTTTGCTTGCAAAGCACAATTTTTCAGCTTCATAAAAGAGTAAATCAATTAACTGCCTTTTTTCCTTCTAAATTAATTTCTCAATAATTGCTATTTTTTTTTCTCAGCACAAGTTGATAATTTAATTTGAAGTACAGAAACTGAAGAACTGATGAGCTGTAGTACTGCTATTTTCTTCTTGGTCTAATGCCTCAGAGAAACAATCTTCAGTGGCTCCATTAATGGAGCTTGGTGAAGAAGGCGGTGGAGGACCAAAATGATCAGAGCTATCTTGTACTGTAAAATCAATACATATACTATTTCTACATATACTACTAACCGACTTCCTAGCTTCTTCTTCCTCCTGCTTCTTCTTCCAGCTGCATCTACATGGAAGATTGCTTCCATGGCTTCTTCTGGCTTTTCTCTTCCTTTGAAACACACAGTAAACCGACCAATCATCTTCATGTTTCTTCTCAGACATCTGCTTGAAATTGAATCAAACATTCAGATAAGCGAAACTCATTAACCAAATTCAACAGAAAAATGAAAAAGAATCTCCTTCATGCATGTACAAAATCACAGTCTTGAAAGTTAATCCATGTTGATAGAAGATTATTCATATATTATTTATATTCTTTATGATAGAAAGTATGAATTGAGAACTGTCTCATCATTTTTATGTAAAATTAATTCTTATAACATAAATAGATTTCGGATATTAAAACTCTAGCATTCATTCATATATCAAGTGATTGTTTTTAGAAAATTATCGATAACGAAATTAAGTCACTTCCGGTTTATTGGCATCCGAAAATTTTCACCTCGAAATATTGGCAAAGGGACAATATCACTCTCATAGGTACCTCTACTTCAAACAAAACAATTTTTAGAGTATAAAATATGACAACAAATATCTCATTTAATTCCCATAACTTATGCAACATCAATTAATATGTTGTCTAACCAAAACTTAGGCGACATCAATTATAATGTCATCTAACATTAGCCAATTCTGACAAAAATTTAAAAGTTACTAATCACATTTACGAGAATTTTTTGGTTGTCTATGTTCTCGAGCAGCTTGATTGAATAACCATTGGAGAAAGGAATAGTTTGAGATAGTACCTGGGTTGTAGGAGGAATCGAAAGGCGGTATTCGTGCATGATCCAGCGGGTTTTGGTGGCATGAGGATGATCATGAGAAGTCTTCTTCTTCTTCTTCTTGGATTCATAGAAGGCCAGAGATTTTCTACTCCCTAAAATCTGGTTGGTCCCGGAAGAAGCTACAATTTTCTTCTCCTTCCCAATTGGCTTCCAGTAACCAGACCCACTTCCATTAATCCCCATTGTTGAACCCTTGCTAAAGAAATACCTGTTCTTCTCCTTCATGTCACCTATACATTTCAACCAATTACTCATCTTCATATTCAACTTCATATACATATACATATATATATATATACACACACTTATAAAAGATCAGAAAGCTTCATCTTCAACGAATGATACAAGACCCAGAAAGAAGCCTCATACAATGCGGTTATGGCAACAACGCCAGAAACAAGATCCACATGTGCTCAAAGACATGCAAGACTGATTTATATAATATACATATACTATGTATATATTTATGCGCATATATATATATGTATATATACCTGGCAAGATCCAGGGATCAGTTGTGAACACATCAAACTCAGGGATGATCAGAGCAGGCAACGGGAAACCGAAAGCCTTTCTCTTCAAGTAATGAACAAGAAGCTCCTCTTCAGTAGGACGAAATCTGTATCCAATCGGTAATCTGATTCCTCCGTTAACAACAAAAATCGAGCTTGATCTCTCCATTAATTCCTTCTTTTTCTTGTTTTACAAATTCGTCAATTTACTTTCATAAACTCTGTAAATCAAAATTTTCACATCTGCGTTCAGCTCAATTGAGGAAAAAGAAAATAACCCATGATGAATTTTCAGAATGGTTATGGAGTTTTCATGAGAAACAAACAGAAAATAAAAATAGAAACGAGAAAATAAAGGTGGAATATTTTGCGGGAAGAAGGAAGAAGTGTGCGGTTATATATATAGAGGATGGAAGAAAATAAGAAATTCCAAAGAAATCCCGAGACTCCTTTTATGACTCCAAACTCTTGAATTTCGTTGACCTTTTATCTTTTTGAAAAATAAAAAAATAAAAAAAATTTGGGTTTTTTAATTTGACGGGTCGTTTATTAATTCTTACACGCTTGGTGCAAGAAAGGCAACGCTGCTTTCGGTTTCCGGTCAAAGTATGACAGGCGCACGTGTCACATCGAGCCCCACGTGCCCCTCGTTTTGGTTTAAACGAAAACACAAGATGGATGAGTTTGGGAAGATCACTTCTTCTATCCCTGTTTCCAACTTGGGGGCATAATTTATTGGGAAATAATATTTATTTTTTTATTATTTAAATTATATACATATTAATTTTACAAAAAATATAATTTATTTTAAATCCGTGATTTTTTGTTTTAAAAAAATATATATAAACTAAATAATGATTAATACAATTTTAGGTACAATATTGATCAATTAATGATTAATTAACTATGATTTATCAATATAAAGTGTTGACACTATGAAGTATTTTAACAGTAAAAATATTTTCTTATTAATTTTTGTAAATTGAAATTAAATTCATTTTTTTAACAATTTAGAAAAAATAATTATCTATGAAGACTAATTATTGTAAGATAATCCATATGATTTTAGATTTCCAAAACATATCTTGATGATGTTAAGAAGAAGCAATATGGGTGATGATGATGATCACGTCATCATCATGATCATCATCAGATAAGTATACGGAATTGCAATTAGTGGTGATCAATCAACTTTTGTAAATAGTATGTACGTTGATTCATACTTCTTGCCTAACAATTAGGGCCACACCCACATCTATATATATATACACACACAAATAATTTTTTTTAAAATAATTAAAAAATCATAAGTTAAAATTTTACTAAAATTATAGAATTTGTTATTATTTGATTATATTATGATATTTAATTCAGTAAAAATTAATAATCATATTTTAGTAATTAGGATAGTTATATAATTTTTTTTTTATTTAGAAAAAGTTGATTTGAAAATCTCTTTTAAAATTCTTGAAAAGCACAACCATCAAGACGTTTTTTTTTTTTTTTTTTTTTTTTGCTTTTAAAAACAAAACACATCGTTTTGGTCAATTTCACGGAGAAAAGTCAAACACCGAATTAAATGAATTTGAATAAAATAATCAAAGTTGTTGAGGTTCATTTTCTCCATCTAGCTGACAGATTCTCTCAATCAATGGCTAAGATCTTCCCAAATTGCATTTTATTATGACACAAAATGTTTATTTTATTAAAAAAATATAATTAAGTTGTTAAAAATTTAATTAAATTTAGTTAACACAAATTTCTTAATAAATTATTAAATTAAATATTGTAAATTAATTATGGTTTAATGAAATTCAAATACAAAGATATTAAGTATTAAACCACCATATTGACTTGTAAGCCAATTTGTTTAAGTACTTATTGAGATACAAATTTGAGATTATGAATGTTTTCCATTATCGATAAGGTTTAGTTTGGTCAAAAATTACTTTATGTCTATTCAATTTTTAAATTTTAGTTACTTGATGTATAACAAATCTATTATAACTTACATATTTATACAAAATATTTGTATTTACGTTTTCACCTTGAGAGAAAAATTACAAAATATTTTAATTTAAACTTAATATAAAATTAACTTTAAATTATAGTAGCATTTTGATGTATCACATACGTATTATATTAGATTTTCATTTCTATCTATAAATTAAAATTAAACCAAACTTATTGTAATATGATTATATATTATAGTAATTAAAGTAGATAAATCATCAAGCATCTGAATTATTTATATACCAGCAGAATTTATACCCCTAATATTGCATATATAGTAAATAAATATATTTATTCCAAATTGTTATGACCTAAGGGATTGATTCTTGAATCTGATCCCACTATTAATTTGTTAGTTGCAAAAATAATTTATAGATATCTTATTTTTTTCAAGAAAAATAAAAAGTTAGTTTGAATTTTTAATTTGTTGTTAGCATATCAACTAAAATAATATAATTGTAAAAAAATGATATATTTTTTTTTAATTACTACAACTCTAACAATACATCAATAAGTAAATAATTTTTAATTTATTTATATCTCACTAAGATCATCAAACATATTATTTTATGAACGTATTATGAGTTGACAGTGATTAGTTTATAATATTTCATTTAATTAGAACTTTAACTTATCTTATTAGTTTATTAGTAAGATTATAGCAATTAAGTTGAATTAAGTCGCAGCAAATATGTCAATTTTTTGAACGAAATAAATATTACGTAACAATTATATTTTATTTTTTTAGCATACTCGTAATAAATTAAAAATTTAAACTAATATTTATTTAAGAAAATATATTAATAGAGACCCAAGAAAAAGTTAACAAGATTAAGGGAGAAACAAGATCAAACATTTGGGTATTGTCACTAAATGATTCTCTTTCTTTGCTTTATTTTATGCCCAATTAATAAGATTCCAAATTGAAAAAAAAAAAAAAAAAAACACAATTAGATTTCTTGTTTTCAAAGAATTTAACTTTTTATCTTTAATTTCCCCCACATGAAATTGAATGGAGTACAATATTCAAATTAATTATAAGGTTGAGTTACAGAAGCATTTGACCTTGGAGATATTGTTTCCCCAAACATGGCACACTCTTCTTCTTCCTTACTCTACACTCCAATCATTTTGCATTCACATTTTTTGTACACCATCATTTTCCATTTCTCCTCGTTACCCACAAAACACCATTTTCAATTTGTCCTTCCAAGCAATCATATGCTTAAAATTATATGCATGTATTTATAGGAACAACGTTTAATTAATTAGGTGGTGGGTGGTTTGACCCATTTTCATGATTGGTGACACGGGTTGTAAGTATTATTATTATATGTTATTGTTAGGAGATTGTGTGTTTTCGTCATTAGATTGTCTTCTCATTCAGGTATATGTGTCAATTAATTAACGAGAAAATATGTATTGAGAAATATATATATATGTAACTATACAATTAGCCAGTTTTCTGTCAGCTTGGTTCATTGATCCCATTTTTAAATTGAACTGAAACAGATGGGCCACCGGACTTCTAAGCCCACATCTCCCGTTTTATTGATGAACAATAACATAAATAGGCCCCCATTGTATTTGTATTTTTTTAATTTCTGTGCGGTTATTATTAAAAAAAAAAAAAACTAAATATCTGTTACGGGTACGAATGGATTATAATTCTATATAATATACAAATTATGGTTAATTAAAATTAAATTTTATTTTTATGTTCTGAAATTTTGAATAGATAATATTTAAGAATTTTATCTTTATATATAATATATTTATATTTAATATTAATATTTTATTTTAATTTTTGTTTCAAAAGAGAAAATATCATGTTGCATTCTCGGTATTACCTGTATATATATACGTATAACTTGTTAAAAGATAAGTATTAATTTTCTAAGAAAAATATCACGAGATCCGTTGTAGTCTAGTTGGTCAGGATATTCGGCTCTCACCCGAAAGACCCGGGTTCAAGTCCCGGCAACGG